ATTTTTGTGTGTTCAATTGACCTAGCAGATCTTATTAGCTGAAGCTTTAAGGGAGCAAAATTTTGAAGCCGGGAAAAACACGTTTCTCAGGAAGCTTGTTGGCTGCAGGATCTCATGAATCTTTCTCTTGTATTTTGCTCTCAATGTAGCTGGAGACTGGTTGTTGGGAATTCATGGATCTCTGGTGTAAATGGCTTCTGGTGGCTGGTGGTTATTCATGCTTGGTTTGTCTTCTGATTTATGGTGCAAGTAGTGTTTCACAATTCTGCCAGACATTACAGTCTTGTTAGCAGTGCCATTTTGAGGTTAAAGGCTAAACTGTAGTCCCAAACTGTTAGATTACTTACAATGCAGTCATGCATTTTGGTATATAAATTCTTAACAGATTTTCTGTTTACATAACTTCCTCCTGCAAAGATAAATTCTCTCTGCTGTTTACAATTATGTAGTCACTTTTTTTAGAACGACAGTTCTAAAAGAGGGAAGTATCATGTTGCTGTTTGTAGAAAATGGTGTATCACTTCTTTGGTGATGTTGTGCTTTATTCTAGAAACTAATTCAAAGGTAGTTCACACAGTGCCAGCTTGCAGTCTTCCTTGTAGACCTATGCTTTCTTTTTCTGAATGGCAGGATTTTTTCGTTCGTTGAAGATACTGTTTAGAAAAAAAGTAGTAAAATGCCAGTGCTTTATGTATGAGCTAACATAATGGTCACTTTCTCAACGATATGTTTCACTATACTGTTAAAGAGATGAAGAATACTATGATAAAGGACTGGTTGATCAGTTGGCTTCAATTTGTGTTTTTTCTCACATCACCCACAAAGAGAGCAGCATTTCTACCAAGCAGAAGAACAGTCTATAATGACATCAGCCACCTTCTTTCACTATATATATGAAGGCAAAAAGTATAAAGGCAGGAAATACGTCTTCAGGGATAATGAAAAGGGAATAAGTGGTGCAAAGAGATACTTTGAGATATAAGAGAATGATGCATATGCAGCTCATGCTTCTATGGTACAAAAAAGCATCATTTTGTGTGTATAAGCCTGGAAGTCCTGTATTGTCAAAACAGTGAGGAAAATGAGTACTTGAATTTTAGCACATTCTAAAAGAAGAACAAATATTCTTTCACTTTTTTCCCCTCCTCCTTTGCGAGTTAAAATTCAGCTTTGTTCCAGTGCCAGGAATTGGAATAGTAGCTCTGCAGTGGTATTTTTTTTCCTTTCTGTTTTATGAAGAGAAAAGTCTGGGAACAACTGGACTGACTATTGACATTTTTTGACCATGCAAATTGGAGACACTGAAGTAATATTTCCCTCTATGCTCTCTGTAGCTGCAGATGTACTGAAAAAGCATTTAAGGAGCTGGCAGTAAGAGTATATCTAGGTGCTTTAAATGGCACTGTTAACTGACCTTTAGAATAGCCTTGCAATGTTTTCTGAAATTCTGTGTAAATATACAAAATAATACTCTGAATTTCTCTGACAAATTAGATGATTGCCCACTTCTGGTGCAGGGAGGATCTGATTATTTGGAAAAATGAGAAAGGGTCATTTATGGAGAAGAGAGTGATGCATTGTTATTCTGTGACTGAAAAATGTGGTCTGCAGTAACACTCCATGCAGTAGGAGCCTTTCTTTGACCTGAGTGGTTCAAACTTTCATTACTTTGTTTAGCTAAATGGAAGGAAAAAGCCCTTGACGTTGCCTGGATAATGATGCTTCAGAGGTAATACATGTGGAATATTCCAGGAAATTATCATTTATAGCTTTTTCTGCAAGATGATTTGAGAAAGGTTGTTTATTTACATTTGATGAGAATAAAATTTATTTAAATTCAGATTTTCAGAATAAAAATCCACATTGCATTGCAAACTTCAACTCAGATGCTTAACAGGACCTGCACATGGGCCAGGAGGTACAGCCTCAGCAGGCAAAATCTTTCATGTAGGCTACAGCACAACTTCAAAGTTTAAATCTGTGTTTTGGTTACCTGAAAAGAAGAAAATCTGTAATGATATATTTATACAGCCCCACAGAAAAATCCTTTCAGACAGACAAGGAGAGGGCTGACAGAAATAAAAGACTGCTAAGATATGCAGTCCCTTTTGCTTAGCTGCATAATGAGTTTTTACTTTTTTTTTTTTCTTCTCTGCAGCCAAGGATGGTGATTACTGGAGATTGCTTGTGCCTGGAAATTACAAACTTACAGCCTCAGCACCAGGCTATCTAGCAATAACTAAAAAAGTGGCTGTGCCCTTTAGCCCAGCAGTTGTGGTAAGTGCTCACTTGTATGTTGGTTTATCATCTATTATATATATTAAAAAACCAAACCTTACCATTTTTTCCTTCATGGTATACATATAAGCAGGAGGTGATATTTCAGAATATACATTTCTAGTCTGTCTTCTAAATTAGCAATCTTTTAATACTTGCTGCACAAGCCACTGAGAGTAATGTCATTGTAAACTCATTTCATCTCCCGTTGGTCGTATTTAAAATGAAAAGACAGAGATGGGTAGTATTGAGATACTTAAACGTTTTTTGACCTGTTAATAGCCAGTCAGATAGAAGATTACAGAATATCTTTAAATAATGTGACATACAAAGTAAGAGATGTTGAGGTTTTCATTGAAACTTGTATTTCAAATCTGAATTGTCAAGTGACTACCTGCATAGGTTAAAATAAGTGTATAGCTTTGTGCAGGAGGATAGTGATGGAGTTCTGCTTTGTGTAGATACCCAGCATGTATAGTGAGTAATATCTAGGCTGCATCTAAGAGTTCATAAGCATTTTTAATTCATCATCTGTACAGGTGTTGATTCCAGTCTTAATGCTTAAAATAAATGCTTATTTCTCCAATGTTTATCATGTGCTAGGATATTCTACACAAGCACATCATATCAATGCTCATGAGCCGTGTGTCAGAAAAACCTCCTGGATCTCCTTGATGGCACAAAATTGAATCTGTGCTTTGATATGCTTGGGGTCTGCATTGCTAGGCGTTAGACAGCAATATGCTGATGATACTTTTTATTATATGCTAGAAGGCTTATATGGCTGGCGATTACTCAGTTTTAATTTCATTGATCCATATTTTTTGAATTGTTTAGACAAGTCAAAGACTGGACAGACGTCTGGTTTCTTTTGGAAATTTTACTTACCTATGTGCATTTTTAAGATAAGTTTATTGTACTGATATGCTAGTATTACACGTATTTAAATCAGCCCTGAGACACTTTGGAATAAGCTTAGCCTAAAATGGATGGTACCTTCCTAAGCCCCATGTCTGTGTTAAACAACTCCTTTCAATAAATTACTTTTAAAAGCCTACATTTCTCTCTCTACAAATCTTACTGATGTTTTTGATTGTTTCTTTCTCAGGTTGATTTTGAACTGGAGTCATTGTCTGAAAGAAAAGAAGAGGAGAAAGAAGAGTTGATGGAATGGTGGAAGATGATGTCAGAAACACTAAATTTTTAAATGAAGATTTTGACTTTACAGCTTTTAATCTATTATATGTTGACTTAGTATAATGTACTGTGGAAAATTCCTATATTCTAGATTTTGTGCACTTTGCAATAATTAACTTTGAATTTTTCAGTCATCTTTTGATTAATATGACTATAACTACTAGCCTCCTAGTTAGATAAATAAGTTACTAATTTTCTTTCATATTGTTATAGAAAATTTACTCTTATATACAAATCAGAAAAAAAAATGAGTGAATGTCTCTGCAGCCTATATGGAAGTACAATCCGTTGTGTATTATTTGCAAGTTCAGAATATGTAGGTTAACTCTTGATTTTAAAAAAGAAATATGCTGTAGTCAGTTCCCAATACTGCCAGAAATATTTGACAGTGCATGGTAGTAGACAGTGCTCTTTACTGAGTTCTATAATGGATGTTATTGAAAAGATTTATGATGACAGTGTGGTGCTGTATGTTTTACAAGGATTAAAATTCAGTATAACATTTTGTATGTCTCTGGTGTTGGAGCTATTTAACTATATAGGAAACATAAGATGACTTCATTTTAGTAACCAGAAGGAATCTGTGTAAGCTCTTTTATTACAGATGGGATGGAATGAATTCAGGAAATAGCAAATCTTTATTCCTTAAACTGTTAATGATATTTTGAGATCAGTTTTTAATTATTTCTCATTAACCAAATTAAAAATTCTGAATGGTCGAAGAAGAAGAGCTCATGCATCTTGTTAATATGCTGGTTGTGTTTGTTTTACAGCAAGAAAAAAAAACAAACCAACATTTCAGGTGATGTCTGTTTTAATTAGGTAACTACATTTTAAATAATCTTTACATGTGTCAGTGGTGTCTAGATAATCAGCCAGAAGTTCATACATTCACTGAAAGCTACCAAAACATTACAGTTTAGATAATGAACTAGAAGTCTACTGTGGGCATGCATTTAGTCTCACGAGCCAAGCATGGTTTTGTTTCTAACTTTGTTTCTTCTGCTGGTTAGTCTTACCTAATACTAGAAGTGAGACAGATAAGTTTATTTTTTTTCAGTGTGGTGAAATTTTCCAAAAAAATTAAAATTTTAAAAAAAGCAACTTTGATTTTAAAAGATCCTTCTTCCTTCCCTTATTTTAGTGTATCTGAATTAACTTGCTTTAGTATTTTGCGTAAGATGACTGCAATTTGCGGAGTCAGAGAATACACATGAACCACAATGGGTGCAATTTTGGTATAATTCTTCTGAAACCACTGCTGGTATGCTACTTGTTAGCAGCTAAGCATATCATCTGTTTGAAAGCTTACACTGTTGCTGGTCTGTTTTAATTCAAGATCAGTTTTCGATAGAGATTTCCTTCCTCTTTTTCTTTAGTATCACTGTGTTTTGATTAGCATATTATTTTAGTTGATGCTGTAGGAGTTCAGTACCATTCAGAACCAACCAACAATGCACTATCATGCTCCTGCTGTAAGCGAAAAATCACATGTTCAGAAGTAGGATCCAAGTTTACCTCCTTTGGGTATTTAAAAATCTACTGAAAATACCATTTTCTGAGAAGTTGAAATTCTTCAATAAAAATAGCAATTGATCCTTTAAAGTAACTTAAAGTCACTGTCAAACTGTACAGTTTGACACACATGGATAAATTGAACAGCAATAAAAAGGCATAAACTTTATCTGATCTAGAGTTTGCTAGTATCCTGCGGCTTATTTTGGTAGTAGACAATTCCAAATGTTATATGGACTTCACTTGCTGTAAGCCATTATGCAGTGTTGAACTTCAAATCTCCATTGCAATGAGGAACACCTGTGGCAAACAAATCTTATCCATACCTGTCTTGGTAACAACTTGTGGCTAGCTGTGCACAAGAGCATGGGTAAAGATGCCCAGTTACACCAACTTGTGCATTTATAACAATTTGAAAGGCTAAACCCAGAACACACTCTGTGCTTGGAATTACTGATACTCTTTTCTGCTGAAC